GGTCTTGAACGATGTTCGAGAACTCTCTAGGCGGGAGCGCTACTGAGTAGCGATCGCACAATTCTAGAGCGTCCGTACTCTTTGTCTCTTTCGCACATTGCTCCGTCCTTGTCGTATGGCGTTCTAGAGTGCTCGGTCTAGCTTCGAGAAGGTTCCGATCTTCCCTCTCTCTCGCGTATCATACCGTCCTTGTCCCACACCTAGAAAATTCGGTCAAAACTTTTGGAGTCTTTTTTTTTTTTTTTTTTTTTTTTTTTATTTTATAGAACGGGGGCAAACGGGCAGGAGGCTCACCTGATGTTAAGTGATACCGCCGCCCATGGACACTCTCAATGCCAGAGGGCTCGCGAGTGCGTTGCTGGCCTTTTAAAAATTGGTACGCTCTTTTCTTGAAGGACCCTAAGTCGAATTGGTTCGGGAATACTTCAGTGGGCAGCTGGTTCCACATAGTGGTGGTGCGCGGCAAAAACTGCCTTGAGAAACGCTCAGTTGTGGAACGTCGGACGTCGAGGTGATACGGGTGGAATTTCGTATTCTGCCTCGACGTCCGATGATGAAACTCAGCTGCAGGTATTAATCCGAACAACTCCTCTGAACACTCTCCATGGTAAATGCGGTAGAAGATGCAGAGTGACCCCACATCTCTACGCAACGCCAAAGGATCAAGCCGCTCGGAGAGGGATTGGTCGTCAACGATTCGAACCGCTCTGCGTTGTATACGGTCAAGTGGAAGGAGCTGGTACTGGGGAGCCCCCGCCCAGAGGTGAGAGCAGTACTCCATGTGGGGCCGAATTTGCGCTTTATATAGTTGCATGCGGTGGCCCGGAGTGAAGTACCGTCTCGCCTTGCTGAGCACACCAAGCTTTTTGGAGGCTAATTTAGCCTTTCCCTCCAAGTGACCGCGAAACTGAACGTCGCTCGATATGTCAACGCCAAGTATTCCAATGCTGGCTGTGGCTTTAAGAAGAGTGTTTTCGAAAAGAGGAGTAGCGACAAAGGGTGTTTTTTTAGCGGAAAACGCGCAAATTTGTGTCTTCTTGGGGTTAAATTGGACTAGGTTTTGTCTGCCCCAATCTGAGACTCCACGAAGTAGAGTTTCAACTTCAGACACAAGTTTGTTCCGGTACTCATCAACAACTGCCCGAGAAATACCTGCCCGGCCAGTGTAAAAAGTATCCCCAGTACTGTCATCCGCATAGCAATGAATGTTGCTAAGTTTCAACATATCATTGATATGCAGAAGAAATAGGGTCGGGGATAGAACACAGCCTTGTGGGACCCCAGCGTTTACGGGTTTTAGGTCGGAACATGCTCCGTCGATGACGACCTTGATGCTCCGATCGGCCAGAAAGCTGGAGATCCAATTGCGTAATTTCTCGGGAAGCCCATAGGCTGGAAGCTTCGAGAGCAGTGCTCTGTGCCACACCCGATCGAAGGCTTTCGCTATGTCCAAACTAACCGCTAGCGCCTCCCCCTTGGACTCAATTGCCTCTGCCCATCTATGTGTAAGGTATACAAGGAGGCCACCAGCCGAGCGACCACGACGGAAGCCGTACTGAGAATCGCTAATCAGCTGGTGGCCCTCTAGATACCTCAAGAGCTGGCTGTTAATAATGGTTTCCATTATTTTGGAGAACAAGGAGGTTATAGCTATTGGGCGATAGTTGGACGGATCAGAGCGATCGCCTTTTTTAGGGATCGGATGTATCAAAGCGGTCTTCCAGCACTTCGGGACAGTGCCGAGCGAGTACAGGTACCGGAAAAGGCGCGTTAAGACCGGAGCCAACTCAGGAGCACAAGTACGCAGCACAATTGGGGGGATACCATCCGGCCCGCTCGACTTATGAATGTCCAAGGAAGATAGTGCTTTGCGGACAGCACGTTGCCGGAATGTGATTTCCGGCATCGAAGAATCACACCGCGAAATGGTCGGTGGTGATCTCCCTCGGTCATCCAAAGTCGAGTTAGACGCGAAGAGACAGCCCAAAAGGTCAGCCTTCTCCTTCGCAGTGTGGGCCAGAGAGTCATCCTCCCTGTGCAGTGGCGGAATGGCGGGCTGACAAAAATTCCCTTGGACAGCTTTGGCGAGAGACCAGAAGGCTCGAGTCCCTGATGGGAGTTGGGCCAATCTCTCGCCAAATCTGGCAATGTGCTCTGACTTTGCCTTAGTGATTTCCCGTTTGAAGGACCTGGAGGCTGAGTTATATGCTTTTTAAGTTCGCTGGTATTGGCATCACGAGATTTCGCCGCTTCCGCCCATGCCTTAAAGCATTCTCGCTTTCGACGCGAGGCCGCCTTGCAAGAACGTTTAAACCAGGGCTGAGACTTGCCACCGATCGGCACCGCAGAAAATGGAATAAAGAGTTCCATGCCCTGCAGAACCACTTCGGCGACAGAGGCGGCGACGGAATCTGGAGCTTCCGGCGAAAAGCACATAGGCCCCCAAGGGTAGGACGCAAAGAAAGACCGCATCCCGTCCCAATCTGCTGACTTATAGTGCCAAATACGGCGACAACCCATAAAGCGTGGCCGTGAAGGGCGCGTAGATGGCACAGTACTCCGGACCACACAATGATCTGATGAACCCAATGGCGGGTCAACAGAGACTTGATAGTTCTCCGGATGAGAAGTCAGCAGAAGGTCCAACAAAGAGGGTTTATGACCATCCACATCTGGTATTCGCGTAATCGCAGGGACCATTTGTGTCAGGTCGTAGGCTAAAGCAAAGTCGTGAAAGGATCTTCCCGCGTGATCGGTGGTTTCAGAGCCGAGCCAATCGGCATGGTGGGCGTTAAAATCGCCAAGTATCACGATTTCAGCGGTAGGAACCCTTTCGAGCAGGGAATCTGTAGCCATTTGGATGTGCTCAATGAGTCGGTCAGTTTCGGTATTTCCGCTATGGGACCTATACAGGCATGCGTAGAATCGCGGATGGTCATCGCAGTCTACGCGCAGCCAGAGGTTAGATAGGTCCCTTCCTTCAAGCGTCCCGAGGCGACGAGAACAGATATCCTCTCTGACGTACACGCAAACTCCAGCCCGCGGCACAAATGAATGTTCCAATTTGTACCCCGGGTAGGATAGGTGGGAAGTATCAGCCGGGGAGGATATCTGAGTCTCGATAAGAAAGAGCAAGGCCGGCTTCGCAGTCTCTAGATGATAGTGGACAGCGTTGATGTTAGAATTAAGCCCCCTAACATTTGTGAAGTCCACGGCGAGTGTGGACGGGGGTGCCTTTGTATAATTGCTCCGTTTGCCCCGAGGACGATTACTATTTTTGTAGAGCGCAGAATTGCCCCCCCCAGAATACGAAGGGCAGCCTGTGCGTCCACCACCGGGTGCTGAGTGTCCCGGTGGTGGACGCCCAGAGGGGGATTCTCCACCGCGAGCGCGTGTGGTACCCCCTGGGGTAGATTCTGTTTTTTCTGCACCTTCATATTTCTTGTGTGGGGGGGATGGAGATCATAAAATTATCTACAAAAAATTAAATATTACTTTTTTTCTACGAGCCACCGATTTTGAGATATAACGATTCAAAAAGTTGTAATCGTCATAATATTCACACGTTTCTTCGCCACCTATGAGGTAGTGTACTAAGCGCGTTTTTTTTTGTGGTTTCCCCAGTAGGCCTATTCCACGGTTCAGTTTTGATCCTGTTTAATTTGAAACTATTGATAAATAATAGATATTAGCAGAGATTGAAAAGATAAAAGCAATTTAAGTTAAAAAAAAGTAGTTCATCGTCCGAGTCGTAACTTTCAAAATCTTCTTCTTGATCTTCTTGTTCTTGTTCGTCTTGTTCTTGTTCTTCTTGTTCTTGTTCTTCTTCATCTTCATCCTGAGTGCATGTAAACTGCGTTAATAGCGATGTATCGCATGTTACCTCGTTGGAATCAAACGGATCCTCTACTGTTGGTGATTCAATATAAGAGCACAACCGGCCTTCACAATGTGTACCTGCCGGAGAACGGAACAGTCCGACTTTTTTGCAACCACATTTAGCACTGCATCCCTTTTTGCAGTTGCAAAAAATCGGTGCAGTTTTTCCGGCGCAGGTGGAAGTAAAGTGTGCACTGGTTCTAATAAATTGATGACCAACTTCCAACCCCAGTCTGTAGGGTCTAGCTGACAACCAAGCCACACTTGAACTTGGTAGTATAGGGTATATTAAATTAAAAAGATGTCGATGAGCAGCAACTGAGGTTGGAGGAAGACAAGCCAATTGTACTTGTTTTTTACTTTTGGTGTTTTTAACGAAACATGCATATATATATACTTATCTAAGCAGGTAGTTTTTTAGGAGCTCCGTACATAGAAAGAAGAAAGCGAATGCCGTTAGTAATAATTTCTTGTCGAGTAGAACTACTATTTTTTAAAAACTTCAGCACATTCAATTAAATTTTGTTTCTCAAATAGTTTAAAGACTGTTATTTTATCCCTCCTGTAAAATGCAGATGTCGTATCACAGACTGTGATACACAGCCAGTTATTGCGTGTAAAAATAGTACATGATTTTGACACTTTCCAAAAGTAGATAAACTTTTTGATGAATACATTTCCGATTGATGTTGAGCTTTTCCTGGTTTTAAGAAGAAAATATTTTTTTTCAGTTGGAGTTCGAGCAGTCAGTAATACGAGTAAGTCTATATCTTCACCAACAACAATAGTTGTATTTGTCAAATTGAATTGCTCAATTGCTGTTTCAATTATCAATACATCAGCATCATTATTAGCTTGTCTTACCCATATATTTTCCGTAGTAAATCTTTCTTTCAACATTGAAATGAACCGAGACTTGTTGTGAGTATTAGAAAGAAATTGTTGTTGGCTGGTTGGAACTGTCATATTTTCATCAAATAAAATATCAATTGATGAAGATGTTGCTAAAGTTCGACGACGCCGTTCTGCAGGTTTGGTATTTCTCGAGCAATCATTATAGCCATCAAATACGACAATATCTCGGGAACCAAAATGTCGACGTACATACTGTACGTATTTATCTAATATAACGTTGAATGTTTCTTCACTATCCCATACAACGCGATGTAGTAAGTATCCTCCGTCAATGATGTATTTGTCGCATTTGTGTTGTTAATATCAAAGTCTACCTTTTCGAAACAATCGTAAATTGCAGACTTCTGTGTTTTACGTATCCCGATGTCATCAAATAACGATAGAGGGTAGGGAGATAGTTCATATTCAAAATAGTTTTCTATTTCATCTTGAAATGCTGCAGTAATACTCATGCGTTGGAACAACAATACAGGGTCAACAGGTACTTTTTCTTCATGAACTTTTATGGTACTAGTCATAGCTACAAGAGGAACAACTTCGTCAGAGCGTTTTAATTTAATATTATTGAATGTGAGTCTATGTAATGACATATGTAATGACGAATCACAAGTGTACATTGTGTTACCTACGTGAATAAATGATTTTTGAATTGAATTATGTCATTTTTGCCATAGAATCAAGCCCAACTTCACGAGCTTTATAACAATTGATTTTATCATCACCAACGACACCACTCGCAATAGAAACAATTTTGATAACGTCTGGAAAAGGATCATGCGTTGAGAACCTCTATAAAAGTTTTCAGATTAACTTTGTGGCCAGTGTGTGTGTTTTTACATTGTACAATGCATAGGTTTGGTGTGGAGTGGCTTGTGAGGCCGAGTGTGGAGCCTAGGCTTTTTCTAATGGCAATGGCCGCGCGTGTTGGGCGGTCAGAGGAAAACTGATATAGAGTATAGTTGTTGTCACTGAGTTTGATTCTATTGGTGTTGCTAGTGTAGGGTTCGGTGATAAAGGCGAGGTCGTGCAGCGCGTTCCTGCTTCGTTCGAGGTTGATTTGTATGGAGTTAATAGTGGAGGGTTTAGATGTGTTGTATGAGGTGTTGGCGTGGTGATTAGAATGATTACTGCGATCCATAATGGACTCTCAATCGGGTACGGTCGGCCATAAAACGTTTCCTCGGACAGAGGTCAGATGTTGCGCTGTGATTTGTAATATCTTTTTTGTCTGTTTTCTTATTGTAGGTGCTGCAGTTGTAGCAGCAGAGTTTAGTCTCGTCATTTTTGACGGGACAGTCGCGGTATTGATGATCGTAAGCAGAGCAGTGGGAGCAGAAGGAGTCGTTTGATCTGCAGTGCTTACGTGTGTGACCGTATTTGAGGCACTTGAAGCACTGTAGTAAAGGCGTGTACAATGCGCGCAGCCAAGAGACCTGTCAGATGCTAGTAGAGAGGATTTCGCGCATGTACAGTCGCGTTCAAAATAGTTAAATAAAACAATTAGTTCGGATTAATAAAATATTTTATTGCATATCGAAATCGCTACCGCTGTCTTCATAGTTTATAAAACGTACACCGCTTATGTACTCGTCGGTGCGATGGCAACCACTATCACGAGCTGTCCCACTTGTGCTTGGCTGTGGTGCGACTATTTCATCTTCGTCGGAGCTATTTTCACTATTCTCCGTGTCACTGTCACTATCATCAGAAGAAGCGCCAACTGCTATTATTATTTCCTGATCTGTTAAATCGTCAATAATGTGATCATTTTCAATGTATTCATTTTCTATTTTTTTCGTTTTTTCACATAAAGCTTTCCATTCATTTGGACCCATTTGGTCTACCTTCTCCTTCACCAACTCCATAACTCTTGTAATGTTCCACTTCACGTTCTTACTACTGACATGACCTTTTATTGCTGCCCATGCCATTTCGATAGGGTTTAAATCGGGATGATATGGGGGCAATCTAAGAACGCGGTGGTTATGTTCTTGCAGTATTTTGTCGATGCTGTAGATTTTGTGGCTCTCTTTGTGTTTTTTTATTATGTCGTAAAGCTCTGACTTCAACATGTCGGAAGTAAACGCGATACCTTTTTCTGCAAGCCAAGATTGCATCTCGGCTTTTTTCGTATTCGAAGTTGGCGCATTCTCATCCTCCTTGTTATGGTAGGACGCATTATCAACTACCACGACGGCATTTGGTGGGAGATTTGGAATCAATTGTGTCTCAAGCCATTTTTATAATTAATGAAATTCATGTCGTCGTGGTAGTCCCCTGATTTTGTTCCTGATTTGAACATTAATAAGGCATTTGGAACAAAACCATCTTCAGAACCTGCGTGCACGATGACAACCCGCTGACCTTTGGAAATTGGTTTTTTTAGTCCTTCCGATGACAGATCAGACCAACCTTTTGATGTTGTGTGCGTAGAATGCACATATGACTCGTCTGTGTATATTATAGGGCAGCCTTCTTGACGGTTTTTTCCGAGTTCCTTTATATATTTAATTCTTTTGAGGCGTATATCGGTCTTTTCAATAAGAATTTTTCTATTATTTTCGGTCTTCCTCCACCGAAATCCAAGATCTTTTATAATTTTGCGCAAACTGGTTGCGGATCCCTGATATCCGATGTCATCACGCAATTTATTTTTTATCTTTTTAATTGTAGGGAGTTCTTTATTTGTTACATGAAAATTGTGAATACAGCGTTTGATCACCCCTTTATCAAAATCATCCATGCCGGTTACGGGGTTTGATCTCGGACGTTTTTTTCCCGGAGTACGAAACACGGACAGCAATCTGGAGCTATTTGCTTCCTTCACAATTCTCTTCACCGTGATAAGTGATGTCTGAGTGGCAGCAGCGGTACGTTTTTGTACCGCTTTCAAATTGCCGACGCCTTCCTCCGCTTCTTTCGCCATAAACTTGTAAACGTCATACACCATCTTCCTACTTTGTCTTTTTAAAGTTTTGCCTCGCGGCATAGTCAACAAAAACGACAACAAAATAAGAAAACAAATAACTGTAACAAATAATACAATAACGAATAACTATAACAAAAAAAAAACGAAACAAAGGAAAACAACTATCAACTTTTGCACTGATCAGTACTTCGGACCACAGCGGCGTGAGAGCAAGGTGCGGGGAGCGTCACACGACTGATACGCATGCGCGGCGGCCGTACCTCGCCCCGCACGCTCTCGTCTCACCGCGCAACGGTCCCGTCCCTCCCCGCTTGCCTCGCTTACCGCCAAAATGGTCTGAGAACTATCTATTGCGCAGGTCTAACCACGTGATCCGTCAAGTCTCATCTTTGGCTGCGCCTATTGTATTCCTCTACGTGTACGCGTAAATGGTCAATATTTAATTTATGCAAGTTGACAATGATGCACCAAAGGGAAGGCTCGCATGTGAATATGGCGTTATATCAATTTTTATTTTGCTGTTTATTTGAATATGATGTCATTGTTGGAGTCCTTTAAGAGTTGTTTAATGGGTTCGTTCTGTGATATTATAAGTTGTTGGAGGAGTTCTGTGTCTATGGAGTTGTCCACACCCTTGAGTATAATCATGGGTTTAAGTTTCTTGCTAATTTCAGCCTGGATGGAGGGGTGTGAAGGGCCGATCTTTTGAATTGTAGCTTCTCAATGTTCTTGTTTATCGAAGACGACTCTAATTTTATTATTGGTGACAGGGTGAACTTCTGCAGGGGTAAAGTTGGTGTCCCGGAAGGAGACCCCTGCTCTGCATGAGGCGATGGTTTCCGTTGTTGTGGCGCCTTCCTTTTTTGAAGAGACGATGATTGAAGGTTTGGAAGTGAGGGCAGGTTTATTGTTGGTGGAGGGGTGGAGGGGTTGTGCTGCTTGAGCGTAGGTGATTGGGCGGTGGTTAGTGCTTATCGAACTTTTAAAGTTGGTAAGTTCGGCCTTAACGGCTACGATGATTTCAGTTTTTAATGCGTGATTTTCGTTACTGTGTGATGATCTGATTGTCTTGTCTGTTAGTTTTGGTAGGAGCGCCGCTGCCCCTTTTATGATTTCGGAAGCGTTAGATATCAGTCTTTTGTTGGCAGCTGTAACGCTTTTACCTTCATTAATGGCGGCGCTGATGGTATTTGCCAACTTGAAAAACGTTTGTTGAAGGTTGCTAATGTCCTTTATGTCACTTACAGGGAGGGAAGAGGGGGGGTGTTTGGGGTGCGGAAGTAACCCCAGGCCCCGCTTTATTAGATGCCATCTTAATCTTCTCCCTGATATCATCAAAAGAGTCAATGAACCTTCGAGTAGACCGGATTTTGTGGTCTCGTTAGGTCGGTTACCCTTATGATCGTTTCACACAGAGTGATCACACAGAATGAATAAAAATTCGATCAGAATTTGGCTCCGATGCACCGTTTGGCCTCTAGAGCGCCAACAAACTTAAGTGATAATGGCGTCGGCGGACCTTTTTCAGGAGAAAATTCAGAAAAATATGTAGAGGTGATCGGAAAATTGTGAAATTTGGCTGGTAGGATCTTATTGAGCTGTGCTGTCTAATGATGAGATAAAATTGATGTGTCAAGGATCTTGTTAAAAAGTTATGGGGTGACAAAAAAATATAAAGTTTACAACTTTCTGCAAATGGCTATTTTTTCCAGTGTGGTAAGTTTTCTGGGGGTGTCCGATATATTAGATGAAACCTCTTCGAACGGCCGTTCTGACACTACTGGTTAAAAAGTTGGCCACCACGTGGTCGCCACGTGTTTTATCTTAAGAAGTGAAAAAAATATATAAAACCTACTTGAAAAAATCCAGTTTTTTGCACACATGTACACTATAATATGTCACTCACTATGGTAAAAAGAAATCACTATGTCACCGATCTTAAATTCGCGCCGCACGCGAAAAACCGAAAAAAACTAACCTAAAACGAGGTTATATTGATGTTTTGTATTAATTTTTTCCGAATTTTCCACTGACCACGGCGAGAGTGGTATCGTTAGAATCGCTAGTGGCACTGAGCTGGTTAGGTGATGTATAGCACTTAGCGAAATTCGCGAAAAAACACATTTTTGGGAATTTTGTAACGCGGAGCGGACCGTTTTTAATGCTTGCGCGTTGGGGGGAGTAAACAATAGCATTAATCCTACTGTTTTGAGATTCAAAATTTAAACACATTCGAATATAGAACAGGGGGCCTACCATGAACTCTTATTGCGAGCCTATTGACAACCTACAACTGAGATGCATCGCTAATTCGTACCATGACATCGAAAAAACGAGACAGTTTATGTTCCCACGTGACTTTAGCGGTTATCAGATTTCGTTCGTTCAATTTGTATGAAAATCCGTACCATGACCGCTCGGCTGAACCGAAATTTGACAGTCGCGCCTTCCAACTATGACAGAATAAGCGATTCTAAAAAAGTTACTTTTTGTTCAACTTTTTTGTATCGAAATGTCCAAATAATAGTTTAGAACCTATAAAATTCAATATTTGTATTAAAACTTGTTAATAAAGTTAAAATAATAAGATTTATCTACTATGGCTAATATAGGAAAAAAAATATAATTTTTATATTTACGATATTTTGAGTTTAGAGTGTGTGAGTGTTTAAAAAAAATATTAAAATATAGACGGAGATGAGAAACAAGACGGCAATGCCCTTCCGACTTCGTAGATATTAAGTTTATAATTTACTATAGATTATTGACTTTGATTCATTGAAGATTTCAGTGTACCTACAAATAATTGCACATTGTTCAATAATATTCAATTAATTATTTATGCATGTCTAACAAAAACATAATCCCCCAATATAATATCATATTTTACAATAAATAAGAATGCCATATTACTAGCAGATATTTATTATAATTAAATTTTTCCTCACTATGTTCATGAATTGTATTATTCTCCTCTGCTTTTTGTTGTTTAAAAAAACATAGGTATTTTTAAATTTATAATGTGTAAATAATAAGCCATTTAAAAATATTTTAATAACAGTATTTATTTAGTTAGGATGACTCCATCAAGATAGAAAAAAAAGATGTCTTCAGGCAATGTTCAATTAGTTATAAACATTTATTCATATAGTCTCAATTTCGCGATTTTGTCAGGTTAAGCTGTAAAGAAAATTATTATTATAATTATAGCCTCTTTATTTCCATAATGAATAACATATTAAACAAGTATATCATATGATTAATTATTACATAATATGTGCATGCATTAAAAAATACAATATTATTATTTATAATCTTTAAATTATATTCCAATCATAATTAATAATTTCAATGTATATAAGTTTGAAATGATAAATAAATTAATAAGAATCAAATACAAAATTCATTTTTATAAATCATTATAAAGTATCATTAAATCGTTATGGACCCCTCTATGGGTAAAGGCCTCCTCCATTTTGCTCCACATCTGTCTGTCTTTTGCTTTGGTGGTCCAGTTTTCACCAGCTTTTCTTTTTATTTAATCAATCCAGTTTTACTTTGGTCTACCTCTTAATCTTTTTGTTGGTTCTCGCCAGGTTACCCTTGGTGTCCATTTTTCCTTGTCCATGCGAGCAGTAAGACCCGCCAATTACATTTTTGTCTAAAGCGTCTATTATTTTTGTTGTTTTCCTTATTTCTGTATTTCTCTTCCGATGTTGTCTTTGTATGTTTAGTAGACTCCTTTCCATCGTTCTATGGCACACTTGTATTTTGTTTTTGGTGTAGTTATTGTAAATCCATGTCTGGAAGCCATATGTAAGACCTGGGGGCCTACCATGAACTCTTATTGCGAGCCTATTGACAACCTACAACTGAGTTGCATCGCTAATTCGTACCATGACATCGAAAAAACGAGACAGTTTAGGTTCCCACGTGACCTTAGCGGTTATCAGATTTCGTTCGTTCAATTTGTATGAAAATCCGTACCATGACCGCTCGGCTGAACCGAAATTTGACAGTTGCGCCTTCCAACTATGACAGAATAAGCGATTCTAAAAAAGTTACTTTTTGTTCAACTTTTTTGTGTCGATAGTATCCAAATAATAATTTAATATTTATTTTCGAAGTTAAATAAGTTTGTTAGAGTAAGTACAACAATTTAAACTATTTCCTTAGGGTAAAAAAATATTAATTTCTATTATAATTTCTTAGATGTCAGGTATCATGCTTTCTTTCGAGTTTATTGAATTGGAAAATGAGGAAATTCAGAATAAACAAGTACGAAGACAGGAATTGCGACGACAAACCGATCCTATTTTAGACCTAGATGATTCCGAATTTATAAAACGATATCGGCTTTCAAAGGAGTTAGCTCAAGCTTTGTGTGATGAAATAAGACCCCTTTTAAGACAACCAAAAAAGTCTACAGATTTGTCGGCTGAGCAAAAGGTAACATAATAATTCCTCATGATTATTTAGTACATTATGAAAAAATAAATAAAGTGTGTTTTTGTAGGTTTTGACAACTTTATCCTTTTATGGAACCGGTTCTTACCAAAGACCAATTGGAGACATTAGTGCGCACTCACTTGCTCAGCAAACTGTGTCCAAAGTCATAAATGAGGTCACAGCTTGCATTGATTCTCCACAATTGAGAATGAAATATATCCGTTTCCCTCAAAATTTTGCAGAAAGAAATACAATTAGAACAAAGTATGTTTATATTATTTATTTACATGAAAGAAACACATTGAAATTAAACATTTAACAATATGCAAATTATTATTTATGTAACTACTATAAAGAATTCAAAAAAATATTAGAACTTATACAAAACACTTCTTTTTCTTGAAATAATCAAATTAAAGTAACTATCATCATCATACTATAAATTATACATTATTCATTACTTTGAATATTAACAAAATAATATTTCAGATTCTACCAAAAATTTTGTATGCCTGGTGTATTGGGATGTATAGACTGCACTCAAATTGCTATTATCAGACCAGCCATACATGAAGAAAGATACTTTTGTAGAAAACACTATCATTCATTAAATGTTCAGTTGGTATGATGTTGTTTAAAACTATGAAATTTAATCCAAGAAATATTTGAAAAATATTAATTATTCTTTAATTTTTTTTAGATTTGTGATGCAGAAATGCAAATATTAAGTGTAGATTCTAGTTATGGAGGTGCAACACATGACTCTTTTATATGGAATACACATCCCATAAAAACCTTCTTGGAAAACCTCAATGAATTAACATGGCTACTAGGTTATATTTATTTCTATTGAGTGAATTCTGCTTAAAACTTTTGCTGTGTTGAGTAGGATATATTTTAATATTTGTTTGTAAATGTATGCATGAATATTCTACTATACTGTTTAACATTTCAGGTGATTCTGCTTATCCATTGCGAAAATATATGATGACACCAATTTTAAATACCGTTACTGGCACACCCGAGAGTCATTACACTGACGTCCATGCTCGCACAAGAAACCTAATCGAAAGGACAATTGGACTTCTTAAAGCACGTTTTCGGTGTCTATTAGTTCACCGCGTGTTACATTATACACCAGAGAAAGCAGCATCAATTGTTAATGCTTGCGTAATCTTACATAACATGTGTAATGAAGCGCAAATTCCTGTGCTTGATGAAGGCCAAGTGGGCCAAATGGATGAGTCCTCGGTTAATGTCTTCTACAATAATGAATACTTAAATAATGAGCCTCTTCACCAAGGTATGCTTACAAGAAACAACCTCGTTCAGCGATTGTGGCAATCACCTGAAAATCAATTGTATAATTAATATAATAAAAATAGATACATTAACATTCAAACGAAATAAATTATTTTAAAATTTTCATTTAATAATAAGCAAAGAGCAATAAATATATTCTATTTTAGTTAAGCTTTTTAAAGTAATATAAGGACTTTTAAACTGTTTTTTTTATTTTGTGTTCATTATTGTGAGAAAATAAATATATATTTCTGATTAAACAATGGTTTTTTTGTGTATTAACATTTTCAATTTAAAATAACCTGCTTTGAGTATGTCTTTTATTTCATTAATATCTTTAACAAGCCTTCTCCACAGCTCTAATTTTTCTTCTTTTAACTTAGTTTGTTTTTGAGCTTCTTCAATTAGAGCTTGACGAGCCGCTTGAGCAGATATCTGCCTATTTCGTGTAGCTCGACGACGATGGCTGGTTTCAGCGCGAGGTGGTCTTTGGGATCCTGTTGTTGACTGTTGCCTTTGGTGTGAGCTGACAGGTTGTGTTAGTAGTGTGGACGTTGATGGTACTGGTAGTAGTGTGGACGTTGATGGTTGTGGCAGTAGTGTGGATGTTGATGGTTGTGGCAGTAGTGTGGATGTTGATGGTTGTGGTAGTAGTGTGGACGTTGATGGTTGTGGCAGTAGTGTGGATGTTGATGGTTGTGGCAGTAGTGTGGATGTTGATGGTTGTGGCAGTAGTGTGGACGTTGATGGTACTGGTAGTAGTGTGGACGTTGATGGTTGTGGCAGTAGTGTGGATGTTGATGGTTGTGGCAGTAGTGTGGATGTTGATGGTTGTGGCAGTAGTGTGGATGTTGATGGTTGTGGCAGTAGTGTGGATGTTGATGGTTGTGGCAGTAGTGTGGACGTTGATGGTACTGGTAGAAGTGTGGAAGTTAATGGTGGTGGATGGTTAGTTATCTCTGAAGGCTGGGGTTCTATACAATTGGTATGTGAAATTACCCAGTCAGACACAGCTAAAATACTGTCTGTAAAGTCTGTATTTGTGTCAGGCAGGCTTTGTGTCTGCAAGTTGGAAAAAAATATTTAAAATAAATGTAAACATCTGATATTGATATACATTATTGTTATTTACTTATCTATTTATTCTTAACATTTGCATGTAAGGTGAAGGTGTACCTATAATGTTAAATCTCCCTCTTTGGGTTTTTAAATTGTTAAAAATTATCAAAGAAACAGATGTAAGAGAGACAGAGATGCTGAAGCCCAAAGGGCAGTCAGGGTGAAGTTCCACTGTTAGTTGTTAGTTATTATTTAAATTTTATGTATACATATAAACTTACTGCTATAAATGGTTCAACTCTAATTTGGGGTAACCCAGAACCAAAGTCTTCTCCAAGAATACTTAAAAACTTTTGTTCTAGATCACTTATTTCTTTTGTTACTGGTTTTCCTCCACCAGTTTTGTCTCTTGATAATCTGTTTAGGTGGGCCAACTTTTTTAATTTTGACTTATAATCATTCCAATACTAAAATCATTCAATTTTTTTTAAAATCATGGTGGTGTTATTGTACAAAAATTGATATAAAACCATTTATCCTGAAAATCGCTGATCAATTAAACGTTTGGATAAATATATACCTTATTCCATGCTTTACAATCTTTAACTGCGCCATCCCCGTGTGCATTTAAACCTATCGCAATCTCTTCCCACATCCTCCGTGAAAATTCTCTCGCTCGAGCTGTTTTATTGTATCCGGATAATATTTCTCTATTTTTATTCAAAAATTCCCACAAATGCTCAAGCTGTCTATAAGTGACTCTACGGTTCGTGGATTCACTGAAACATTAACAAACAACCTTATCTAGTTTTGCCTAAATTTTGAACAAAAAAATAAAGGAATCTCTTTTGCATATCGACGTAGGAAAGTATATTTGCTGTAAGTAGACAAAATACCTAAAGTGACTTTTTCCTGCCATTAGAATCAGAAAAAAAGCCGCATCGAATGACCTGGGTCCTGTGTCTCTACGATGAAAAAAAAAATTACATACGCCGTTGAAAACGCCCGTACTTATATTATTTTTAGCAAGATTAAATGCTGTATGTAGACCAAAATCTAGTCATTTCAGACATTTTGCACTTACAGCAAAAGAAAATCTGCATTTTTTTCTTTACAAATACTTACTTCTTCCCATTTAAAAACTTAACGCTACTTACAGCATTTCAGGGGCGTGTGATTTTTACATTCGTTTACTTACAGCAAGTTTAGGGAACCTACAGTTTTGGTTTTTTTTTTACCATTTAGGTACGACATTTTATTTCAACCAAACATTACATTACCAAATGACCCACTGCATTTCTAGATCTAATCATAATTATAAACTAATCTTACATCTTGAATTACAATTAAAAGTACCCAAATACATAAATTTCCTGCATACAGCATATTTACCGCCTGTAAATTGATAATATTTCCGCGCGTACATTTTTCTTCCTTAGTTACAGCGTTTTAAAGGTTTGTGATTTAAAAAAACTGTTTGCTGTAACTAGCCAAACACGTACTTATAGTAACTTTGGATAAAAAGTTTACATTGCAAATGGTGACTGGCAGTTAAATAAATATATGTTTCAAAAATGGTAGCAATATCATGGATAGGTCAGACACTATTAATTTTTTTCCGAAATTAATAAAGTTTTTTGGCTCTGGTGAACAATTGCAATATGTCTACTTACAGCAAATGTGCTTTCCTACGTCGATATGTATAAATTATGTATGTAAAATACTTACCTCATTTTTAGATATATAATTTAATATATAACATATAGCAATTTTTAAACTTATAACAGTTAATACTTTTGAAACAACAAAAACGGCGCGGGCCGAAAAACGTTCAAAAATGTAAGTGTCAAATATCAAATCACCGGAAAACTTTATGCTTAAAATATTTTATTAGAATATTTTTATATAAATAATTATAATTTTCTAAATCTTAATAGCTTAGTGTAATTGATGAATTATTTAAAATAATGTTATATTTAATTTATTTTTATAGAAACATCTGTCGAAGTAAGTTTGACAGTTAAATTTCTAAACGTACTCAGAAACCACAAACAAAATTATCGTTCTTTCATTCGGTCTTGCGATGCTAATACGTTTCAGCTTATAGGCGGTCATGGTACGAAAAAATGCGATTGACTTTAGGTACCTAAACTCAACTGCATCTCAACTGGATTGTTTTAAGAAAGTTCATGGTAGGCCCCCAGGTCCAAGTTCAAAATTGCCGGGAAATATGGAAACGACAGAACTTTAAAGGCATGCCTCGTAATATACCTGTCTAGAAGTCTGGTAAGGGTGAGAACTGAGTGCTATCACATACTTTGGGAGAAGCCGATGTTCAGCAGTGGATGTGAGTTGGTTGAAAATGATGAGGAATTATATCTTTGGGAAATGATCTTACCTTCCGCTGTAGTTTATGTGTCACAGTCTATGGGTAAATCTATTGACGGCATTATATGTGGCATGACTGCAATCACTTGGGTGGCGGTGCTGGTCCTCCTCATGTCCTCTTCCTTTGGGCTTCAAGGGTTTGGCATCCCTAGCTTTTGCCTTCATATTTTGTCACATCTTTCTTAATTGTTTAGAATCAGCCTGTAATCGAAAAAAATTGTACTTAAAAATAGAATGTTTAGACTTTAGTACATCCAATTCTTAATGATAGAATGACCCATTGTATGTTTGATACTTTGTATCCAAAATTAAGACAACATGAGAAGAAATTTTTAACTACTTTCGTATGTCCGTGAAATCATGTGATGATTTACTTTCATTAATTGAAAAAGATTTATCCCACGTGCAAATTATGTTCTGCGCGAGGATGTTGTTTCAATAGAATAAATTTCGTGATAACTTTAAGGCAAGTATTGTTTTATTCATAATCTCTTATACTGTATTAGTATAAAAATCAGGTTAACTTTTAATAATAATATAATCTGTATTTATTTCTCACAACTTAGGACAACTTAGGACATAAGCAAGTGACAGTTATATTCTTACTTCTGTTTATGGAAAAAGCTAGTTTCTGTGAGATTGATGCCTGCTTAAGGTAAGAGTACCTGTGTTACAGGTCATCAGGCCTCCACCACAACGGATCGACAGAAGATCTTATACAATACAATACATTACAATATTTAAGGAAACCACATGGGGTATGTGTGTATGTGTAAATTATGTGTATGTGTGTGGGTGTGTGTCTGTGTATGTTTTATATTTATTACTTAAGTGTAAATCTATTAAAGCTATTATACTAAAAATTTATTCCATATTTTTAACATAGATTAGCATCAACTTTATACTCAACTATTTAATTATGGTAAGCATTTTTTCTGTTTCCTCATAGTTGAGGTCCACAGTGCAACCATCTTCTAGCACTCATGTTTTGTTAGAGGATATATGGAAATGGAAGTGTTGACCTTATTATACAAGTAATCCCCCAAAAAACAGAAGAATTTCTGGGCAAAACTTATGCGAAAGGTGTTGGTCATAATTGATAAGTGAGTACTTGCGTAAAATTGTGGCAAGAATGAACATTTGACGCACAGAGAGTACCTTCCAATGTCTGTATACCTCTGTGGTGAGACAAGACAAATGAAGGGAAGGGCGGCACTAACCTTGAGTATTGCCCTCTGAGCTCTCTCTATTTTCAGAAGGTGGGTTTTTGCTGAGCCACCCCAAGAAGTGATGCAATAGCTCAGAATGGATTGACTTAGCGACAGGTAGACAGTTTGTATAATTGTGTTATTAGCAATGTGCCTCAAAACTTTGATTACATAAATCAGTTTTCTAATTCTACCTGCCAGTAGGTCAATATGAGCTTGGAAATTTAGATTGGTATCTAGCATGACTCCCAAGTACTTCACTGTGCTTGTAACTAATAAAAACGAATTAAATGTAGTATCAGATTAAATATAATGCTTAAACATTGTCAGCGTTTTGGAAGAGGTCGAGACTTTCAATATCCTGAGAATCTCTTGATAATGCTGCCTGTGAAGATCTTGGCACGGAAATAGAATTTCGGCCTTGCCATGCTGTTATGAATGGCGTTTCTAGGCCATATTCTTGAAAAGAAAATTCATTTCGTCTTGAACCTTCAGGTTGTGCATGGTATCAAGGTCGAACCGGAATTGAAGTTGAAGATGAAAGAAAGAAAGAAAGAAAAATCTTTATTTTTCTCCACAATCTTACATTGATATTAACTAAATATTAAGAAACAGATATATTGTCGCAAGGAAACATTATAAGATTGTGAGAGACTGGTGACTGAACTAAGCAGGGCTTGTATCTCAGACCACCAGCCTCTCCCCACATGGTGTAAAAAGTAGCCAGTAACAAGAGTAAATTATTAATAAGGACATTTTACAGATGTAACATGGAGAAAAGAGGTACCTAATTAAAATATGTAGGTGTGCAATCGTGCCGATATAACATCCGTGCTAATTATTATATATATTATTATATATATATATATATATATTAGTACTTAGATAAATATATATATATTAGTACTTAGATAAATAGATAACAGTACATAAATAAGTATAAAAAAAATAAATAAATAGTAAATCAAAAATAAGCTATAAATTGTAAGTTAGACCATTGGTTGGATTAAGTTTTCAGTCTCATCATAGTTGAGACCCTGTATGTAGGCAGTAACCTTCTTTTTACAACTGAAGGATAAGAGTAAGTGAATATTCAGCTTGCGAATTAGTTTGTTGTAAATAAAAGGGCCGAGGTAACAGTAGAAGCGGTGGGAAAAGGCAGTGTAGAGAGAAGGAAGGTGAACAGGGGGTGGGCGGCGAGCAGATCGAGAGGAAGAAGGACTAGGTTTATGTTCGTGATGCTGTTTGAGGGCTGTGTTTAGGATGAACAGTTGACGTACTGTAAGCATCTGAGCTTCCTGATAGAGGGTGAAAGTAGGGAAAAGAATGGGTTTGAATAAGCAAACTTTTAGAAGAGCCCTCTGGGCACGTTCCAGGGACAGCAGATGGGTTTTGGCTGCACCACCCCAAGTGGTGATAGCATATAATAAAACAGATTGACATAATGCTAAATACATCATTCTGACTATATGAGGCTCGGCAACATGACGAATTTTCTTAAAGATAAACATGAGTTTGCGGACTCTACCACACATATTCATAAGATGGGCCTGAAACGTGAGTCGACTATCTAGTGTGATGCCAAGATACTTAACCGTACAACCTCTCTTCAATGTAGCGCAAGAGCATGGAACAGAAGGAACAGAAGAATGTGTATGGGCAGTTAAGGAATACGGGATTAAGGCTATGGGAGGAGTATATATGGAGAAGGTAAGATAGCAAGTTTTCTCTATATTAAGAGTTAATAAATTTTGGCGCAGCCAACACGAAACGATATCAAATCCGGTCTGTGCATAAGAGAAAGCTTCCCTCCAGCTTTTTGCAGAGAAAACAAGAGCAGTATCGTCGGCGTAAGAGACCAATTTGCTATTAGGTATTTTCAGGGAACACAGATCATTCATGTACACTAGGAACAGCGTAGGACCAAGAATGCTGCCCTGGGGGACTCCGAATTCCACTGGAAGGTAAGAGCTGACATGGCCATCTACCACTACACATTGACTCCGACCGCTGAGGTAACTTTTAAATAAGGAAAGTTGAACTCCTCTCACTCCAAGCGCTTCCAGTTTCTGTAGAAGGATTTGGGCCGAGACAGTGTCGAATGCCTTCGCGAGGTCTAAGAATATGCCCAGACACTTCCTATGGCTGTCCAAGTTCCTAACTATGTGATCGGTTAATTCATGGATGGCATCCGATGAAGATCTTTTAGCTCTGAAACCGAATTGATTCGGAGAAAGTAATTGTTTATCTTCCAGATAACTAACGAGACGTTTGTTTATTAGGCGTTCAAGGATCTTGGACAGTGCTGACAGAATAGAGATGGGGCGATAGTTGTCGACACTGCCACGGTTGCCGGATTTGAAAATGGGATGCACTATTGCCTTTTTAAAAGCGGATGGGAAGATTCCCGTACGCATACTTAAGTTACATACATGGGCGATTGGTGTAGCTAATATTTTAAGGTTGCGTTTAAGTATGGCAGACGTGATGTTGTCCCAACCTGCAGCACAGCTTTCTTTCAAGGAATTTATAGTGATTTCGACTTCTTCAATAGAAGTGTCGAGCATGACTAATGATTGGAGAGGAAAAGGAGGATTTGGTCGTAATGGAGGTGGAGAGTCGTGTTGATGATTGGATTGTATATTTAAGGCAAGCGATTTTCCGATACCCACAAAGTGAGAGTTAACATGGTTTGTTGAGTCTTTTGGAATCGCTCTACATTTTAGGAGGTCACTTGGTCTATCATGTTTTTTATTAAGATTACTAACGTCTTTTATAGCTGTCCAAAGTTTTTTGGTGTTAGTTCCTGCATTTAGTAGTAGACCTTTTTCATAATTCTTTTTAATTTCTTCAGTAGACTATTACAGAAGTTCCGGTATCTGTAGTATGTTTTGCGCAGAATATCATTTTCAGGTTGCTTTTTTAGTTTGTAATGCATTCTATCTCTATTACGTATACATTTAAGTAAGCCTGGGGTCATCCATGGCTTGATGATTTTAGTGCGGTGAGAGCGAGTCATGACGGAGGTGTGCATAGAGATAACTGATTGAAGAATTTCTATCAAATTGTTGGTTGCTTCTTCACAGTCAGTGTTATTGAGAACAGATGAAAAATCTGTATTCAGGAGAGACTGTGAG